ATAATATATATTGAAATTATTATTGAAAAACTTGCCATCGATGAAAGAATATCACTCCTTATAGATTTAAAAATCGCGTAAAACCTGAACATTTTAAAGGATTTTACTGAATACACTGTATGTTCAGAGGTGGGGTTTTATTGCAAGTAAACTGGAAAAAATATGCATTCCCCTACAGTGCGTCTTTTCTATAAACATTTTAGGGTTACCCTATATGGAACATTTGCATTTTACAACGCCACGTAAATCAAGAGCAATGTAATGAAAATTGACAATAAAGGAGATCATTATGAGATAATAAATCACAAGTGATACGCTAAACGTTTGCTTTTTAGCATTCAATACCACTTTTCATTCTACCGAACAACAATGTAATTACTTTATTAAAAAATGTACGATGATATCTTACTTTTTTCCATTTAAATATACATATATTATAAGAAACTATGTAATAAAATAACGTACCGGTTTTCCATGACAGGATCAGGGAGGAAAATAAGGTCACCCAAGTTGCAAAGTTCCCCATGTTATGGCCGTCTAAATGGAGGCAATATGGCGTTGACCTTAACTAAAAACTCCGAATTTGGATCATCTGTTTGAAACCTAGTAAACCTTCCACTTTGGTCCAATTATCCAGAATCTGAATTACTGAAGGATGAGCATCAAGTAAAACCCATCCAAATTCGAACACCGCTGCCATTTCGTATTATTGAAAGAGCACCTAAAAACGTGTCTGTGCATTTTATGGTAAGTGAAGTGGAAATTCAGCAAACAGCGACTGTTCATCAATTACCAGGAGTCAACAACTGCGCTAACGTGGGAATAATTTAACCGCCTTTAGCCTTAGAGTGCAGTTGATGAAATCCTCTATATACGTCTTTTTTTCTTTTTGTGTCACGCCAAAGAGAATGTAAAATCCTTTAAACAAATAATGTTTGTCATTTTCCTCATTTTGCCGCACAAGCCAACGACGAAATACATTCCTGTTGAAGTTGGTTTGGTGTAAAGGGTGAAAAATGCAGTTTGATGATCCCTGACTGAAATTTCTCGATAAATGTATTTTCCGCAATGTGTTGAAATAACCATAAGCCAAGTTTTAGATTAAACGTGCTTATATCTTCTCCCAGACTAGATAAGCTGCTGTTATCGAGTTATCAGTGCCAGTTACCTTCGGTGATTCGAATGCCTTTTCGTTGTCACGGAGCACTGTGTAAAAAAAAGACCGCATTCAGATTCACACATCATACCAGCTTGGTCGGTCCAACCTTGCGGGGATTCGCTCTAAAGTGCAATCAATGGAATTGGCTTGATAATCTGGCACACCTTCTCCAGCAGCGAGGGTTTATTTACTATCGTGTGCTTATTAAGCTGATTTAAATGATTGCACTTGAACGAAGACCACGCAGAGTTGGCTCGACCCAGCTAGTAGGATATGTGCATCTGAATACGCTCTAAAGGATACTGTGAAATCTTTTCAAACCATCCTTCACCTTGTTTCATAACAGACAAACGCAGTGTATTATGCATACTTGATCCAATGGTGTGTTTACATTACAAGGCTGCTATCTCTTTTTAATGTGCTCAGCTTCTGGTGTAGAATTGAGTCTATTGAAACCCTTCAAGATGTCGATAAAAAATGATATGATCACTTACTCAAATGCTGCCGTAATCGATTAACGTAATAGACTCAGGGCTGTTTCATTTAAAGCTAAAATTTTCTCATGATCTTTGGACAGACAAAATCAACACTGCTGCACAATTTCTATTTGCTCTTCTGCTTTCGCACCAGTAGCTGACAAAAGCACGAAAACGTTTTTTGTAGTAACTTGATGCCTTTTGGTAACGGTAGCAAATAAGAATTAATTATTGATGTGCAAATGAACTCAGCTCTTGCATCAGTCGTTGCCTTCGTTGGTTCCATTTCCAGTCCAACTGGGACGGCGTTACAGTGCATAGTACTTTACCATCCAAGCACTTGGCTTGATCTGATTTTTGACCACGCGGAGTCAATCAGTCTAAGGGCGTGCAGAATATGTTATTTACCATGGAGGTGGGGTGGGACGGGGGAGGGGGGGGGGGGGTAAGGGAGTGATATGCTTCCATAAGTCAGAAATAATTCAACAAAATTTTATTCTTTTATTGATTAGAATCGAGCAGTTTGTGTGTCAGTCACATTCAATGTAAATTTCTATTTTTAAATTAAAAACATACTGGTTGATTTGAAGCACATGATACTTGAATGAAAGGGACTAGGACTGTACTTGTTTAGAGACAATATTTCACGCAGCAGATACAGGGAAGAAGACAAAGGTTTAAACTGATATATTAATAATCTTTTAAGCGTAATATTTCACGTGTTCTCCATACTGTTCATAGTAACACTTTCCAGATTGTCATCATTTTCCTGTCTTTAACAATTTCCCCTGCTTTTCTCGTGAGAAGAGAAATCAATGTCTAGACAACATTTCTTAATTTCTTGTTTTCAAGTTTACAATTTGTCAGCCATTTAGACCTTGTGATTTGATAACAGAAAAGAATAAAGCTGAAATTGCATAAGACTTAAACTGAAATGAAAAAAAATGTCATCGTCGTTAAATGACTCTTCTAATCACTCACGGGCCAAAACAGCTATGTAGACTTACTGTATCTTGTATTTAAACACAGGTAGGCGCATTTGAGTTTTTAACTAAATGGAAATTATGAGGTTTAAGATCGATGATCTGCTTTATTTCCCGCTCTACTCTAAAGCGGATTTCCCAAGTCTGACTTTAAAATCGATAGCGGAGAGTGATCCTTTGCCGCAACGCAATTCACATCAGCGTGTGAAAGAAAACGAGTAAAACACAATACGGTCCATATCGATCCAACTGAAGAGTGTTATTTATATTAAAACAAATCTTGCATACTTAGAGTCGAGTGCATTTCTAATATTCCAGTGTATTTGCGTATACATCGAAACAAAAGTTTTTGCGAAGCACGGTCTATTTTTACTAAATAAGAAATGCGCTATGGGATGTTTTTCAATCGAACAATCTTAATTTGTTCATTTTTGTAACAGAAAGGCATTATTATAAGAGTGGATAACATTAGACATGCTTGAACACGACCAAAATATCAATTTTCCTCCTTTTCATCCAGTTGGGAGAAGGTTTGTGAACATTACATTGTTTCCATTCAGAAGGGATGTTTTTCTATGTTTAAGGAAAAATCAATTGACTTTTGAACAATTTGTGTAACAGCCTTCCGAGGCTGGCAGATTTTTTGATCATTTATTCCTTGCAAAAAGGCTCGCTGGATACAGTAGAGAAAGATGTAAATGATTAGTCATATGTCATATATAATTTGCTTGGATTTGGCTTGTCTTGAAGAGAAGTGTACAAACGCACTATCGGGTGACAAGTTATTCTCTTTTCCACTGGTAACTTTGAGGGGTGAAATAAAAAGCACTAATGGAATTTTATTCTAAAAGGCTGTCAGCGGCAGTGCATGGTAAGAACCTTGCTATTTTTTAGGATGTAAAAGTATCAATTGAATTTTCTGACTTTTTTACTAGAAAATTGCGACCTAAAGGCTAAAAGCTACTGCAATGTGCAGTAACAGAGGTTGAAACTCCTTGCCTAGTACTGTGAAAAGTCCCCTGCATAACCCTAAAATATTAGGAAGTGAAACCTCTTCAGGCTCATGAAACTTGGTAATTGAATTTTGTGTGCTTTTGATGTAGTTTCCATTCTTCTGAAAGTTGTTTTATATGATTCTCCTCACATATGACAACAATATACATTTATTTTTAAAAAAAAACAAAGAAACTATTTCACCTACAGTAGTAAATTCTTTGTAATTATTTGATTGAAGCTAAACATAAAAGATCTTAACATGCAACATATGGCATAAGCCTTCCAATAAATGTTAAAATGCTTATATACTTTTCATTCCTTTAGTGATGAAAGCAAAGTACAAAAACTGAAGTGCTATGGAGGGAGAGCAGGCCCGTAGCCGGGGGGGGGGTTCGGGGAGTTCGACAGAACCCCCCTTT